TACATCACAGACTAACAGGTTACATCACAGACTAACGAGTTACATCACAGACTAATGAGTTACATCACAGACTAACAGGTTACATCACAGACTAACGAGTTACATCACAGACTAATGAGTTACATCACAGACTAACGAGTTACATCACAGACTAATGAGTTACATCACAGACTAACAGAGTTACATCACAGACTAACAGGTTACATCACAGACTAACGAGTTACATCACAGACTAACAGGTTACATCACAGACTAATGAGTTACATCACAGACTAATTACATCACAGACTAATGAGTTACATCACAGACTAACGAGTTACATCACAGACTAACGAGTTAACAGGTTACATCACAGACTAACGAGTTACATCACAGACTAATGAGTTACATCACAGACTAACGAGTTACATCACAGACTAACAGGTTACATCACAGACTAACGAGTTACATCACAGACTAACAGGTTACATCACAGACTAACGAGTTACATCACAGACTAACAGGTTACATCACAGACTAATGAGTTACATCACAGACTAATGAGTTACATCACAGACTGACGAGTTACATCACAGACTAACAGGTTACATCACAGACTAACGAGTTACATCACAGACTAATGAGTTACATCACAGACTGACGAGTTACATCACAGACTAACAGGTTACATCACAGACTAACGAGTTACATCACAGACTAATGAGTTACATCACAGACTAACGAGTTACATCACAGACTAATGAGTTACATCACAGACTAACGAGTTACATCACAGACTAACAGGTTACATCACAGACTGACGAGTTACATCACAGACTAACAGGTTACATCACAGACTAATGAGTTACATCACAGACTAATGAGTTACATCACAGACTAACGAGTTACATCACAGACTAATGAGTTACATCACAGACTAACGAGTTACATCACAGACTAATGAGTTACATCACAGACTAACAGGTTACATCACAGACTAACGAGTTACATCACAGACTAATGAGTTACATCACAGACTAACAGGTTACATCACAGACTAATGAGTTACATCACAGACTAATGAGTTACATCACAGACTAACGAGTTACATCACAGACTAATGAGTTACATCACAGACTAACGAGTTACATCACAGACTAACAGGTTACATCACAGACTAACGAGTTACATCACAGACTAACAGGTTACATCACAGACTAACGAGTTACATCACAGACTAACAGGTTACATCACAGACTAATGAGTTACATCACAGACTAATGAGTTACATCACAGACTGACGAGTTACATCACAGACTAACAGGTTACATCACAGACTAACGAGTTACATCACAGACTAATGAGTTACATCACAGACTGACGAGTTACATCACAGACTAATGAGTTACATCACAGACTAATGAGTTACATCACAGACTAATGAGTTACATCACAGACTAATGAGTTACATCACATACTAATGAGTTACATCACAGGCTAAAGAGTTACATCACAGACTAACGAGTTACATCACAGACTAACGAGTTACATCACAGACTAATGACTTACATCACAGACTAATGAGTTACATCACAGACTAATGAGTTACATCACAGACTAACAGGTTACATCACAGACTGACGAGTTACATCACAGACTAACAGGTTACATCACAGACTAATGAGTTACATCACAGACTAATGAGTTACATCACAGACTAACGAGTTACATCACAGACTAATGAGTTACATCACAGACTAATGAGTTACATCACAGACTGACGAGTTACATCACAGACTAACGAGTTACATCACAGACTAATGAGTTACATCACAGACTAATGAGTTACATCACAGACTAACGAGTTACATCACAGACTAATGAGTTACATCACAGACTAATGAGTTACATCACAGACTAATGAGTTACATCACAGACTAATGAGTTACATCACAGACTAACGAGTTACATCACAGACTAATGAGTTACATCACAGACTAATGAGTTACATCACAGACTAATGAGTTACATCACAGGCTAATGAGTTACATCACAGACTAATGAGTTACATCACAGACTAATGAGTTACATCACATACTAATGAGTTACATCACAGGCTAACGAGTTACATCACAGACTAACGAGTTACATCACAGACTAACGAGTTACATCACAGACTAATGAGTTACATCACAGACTAATGAGTTACATCACAGACTAATGAGTTACATCACAGACTAACAGGTTACATCACAGACTGACGAGTTACATCACAGACTAACAGGTTACATCACAGACTAATGAGTTACATCACAGACTAATGAGTTACATCACAGACTAACGAGTTACATCACAGACTAATGAGTTACATCACAGACTAATGAGTTACATCACAGACTGACGAGTTACATCACAGACTAACGAGTTACATCACAGACTAATGAGTTACATCACAGACTAATGAGTTACATCACAGACTAATCACAGACTAATGAGTTACATCACAGACTAATGAGTTACATCACAGACTAATGAGTTACATCACAGACTAATGAGTTACATCACAGACTAATGAGTTACATCACAGACTAATGAGTTACATCACAGACTAATGAGTTACATCACAGACTAATGAGTTACATCACAGACTAATGAGTTACATCACAGACTAACGAGTTACATCACAGACTAATGAGTTACATCACAGACTAACAGGTTACATCACAGACTAATGAGTTACATCACAGACTAATGAGTTACATCACAGACTAATGAGTTACATCACAGACTAACAGGTTACATCACAGACTAATGAGTTACATCACAGACTAACAGGTTACATCACAGACTAATGAGTTACATCACAGACTAATGAGTTACATCACAGACTAACAGGTTACATCACAGACTGACGAGTTACATCACAGACTAACAGGTTACATCACAGACTAATGAGTTACATCACAGACTAATGAGTTACATCACAGACTAACGAGTTACATCACAGACTAATGAGTTACATCACAGACTAATGAGTTACATCACAGACTGACGAGTTACATCACAGACTAACGAGTTACATCACAGACTAATGAGTTACATCACAGACTAATGAGTTACATCACAGACTAACGAGTTACATCACAGACTAATGAGTTACATCACAGACTAATGAGTTACATCACAGACTAATGAGTTACATCACAGACTAACGAGTTACATCACAGACTAATGAGTTACATCACAGACTAATGAGTTACATCACAGACTAATGAGTTACATCACAGGCTAATGAGTTACATCACAGACTAATGAGTTACATCACAGACTAATGAGTTACATCACAGACTAACAGGTTACATCACAGACTAATGAGTTACATCACAGACTAATGAGTTACATCACAGACTAATGAGTTACATCACAGACTAACAGGTTACATCACAGACTAATGAGTTACATCACAGACTAACAGGTTACATCACAGACTAATGAGTTACATCACAGAGGGGTTATTTAAGGGCAGTAGAAAAGGAGTGGCAAACTTTGGCCTACATTCGCAATTCTATGATTAGCTTCATCACCTAAAAGCCAGAAGAAAAAAGTTCTTTGATTTTGGTGCTACTGCAGGTTAAACGCCCGTACGGACCCGACCCGGGGGAGTAAGAGGAAGAACTGCTTGAAACAAGCTGACATGTTTTTAAGAAAACTGTCTTCTTTTTTCTAAAAATGTTCAGACTTCAAAAGTAAAACAAGAGCAGCACTCCGAGACGTTTTATCAACCCGGGTCCTGATTCCCATCAAAACTCTTTACAATTTCTGGCGTCGGATCGCAACCTCAGGCCCAATCGAAAATGTGTCCGTAGACTTTTGAGTTATTGACAAGCTACGCTCTATTTCGGTCTGTCTGTGTGCATTATGCGAGAAAGGGAGGTGGATTGGCACGAGTGAGGCACAAATGATGAAATTGATGACAAGTACAAAACCACTACGTCTAAACAAACCAGGAGTCATGTGACATCATATGCTATTCTCACTCGACACCTCGGAACCGTTCAGTTTAGGATCCAGATGTAAAGAACCAAACTACGATTTCCACACAAACTCCACATTGGCATTTTCTACATTAAGAGCACATGTGCTTCTTAATTGAACCAACCAGATGCACACAAATACATTTAAAAGCTAAATTGTGTTAAGGTGGAGTTTTAATTTAATTGGGCAATAAAAGAGCGCTAAAAAACATACCGTACATAAATATCTATTGGCAGGGCTCTTTAACCCTTTCTGGACTACGACTAAAATTAAACATCTGATAATGATAAATGTATCCTACTGCAAATATCTAGATCGTAATATGTTTGTAGGTCTACCAGGTACTGTTATTGCTGCACAGAATCATGTTGGCAGGCCTACATGCCCTGTACCCAGGTCAGATGAGTGTCATTATTTGTGCTCGGCCTTCAGAATATTTCCCCAGAAGGTCTGTAGCCTACTAAATGTAAACCTAGCTGTACTACCTGGCCATACAACTGACCAGCCCACGCTGTCAACACACAGCATTTAAAAAGCTGATCTGGGGAAAACACTCGCCGAGAACTGAGCTCAGTCTCACTGTCATTAATAAGAAAGACGAGCACTGGTTCTCCTCAGCGTGAACCGGGCTTGGTCATGGTTTATCAGCTGGGCCAGCAGACACAAGCAGACGGTCATTCACAACCAGAGGGGCTGGTACTGAAGGCCCAAACAAACGGGCTTGGTAATGGTTTAACCAGCATCAGCAGACAACCCCACGGTGAACAAAACATTGACCACAATAGCCGGCTAGTTGATAAAAATCACAGATCCATGAAGACCATAGTGGAATCTCCCGTACGCAATAAAGGTTTAACAAACACAACAGTAAAATCACATAGAAGCATATTCTCAGAGAGGTCACTGTCATCCGTCACTAATTAAATTTTTTAACTCAACCTTAATTTAACCAGTTAGGCCGAATGAGAACAATTTCTCATTCGCAACACAGACCCGGGAGTTGAACCCAGGACGTCATACACACCAAGCATGCACTCTACCACTGAGTTACCAGCTGCACCTCAACTGCTTATACTTCCACGGTTCTCGTAGTGGTTAATTCACATGAGAAAGGTTCATTACAGACACGTGAGCACGCTTACAATGTATTGTATGAAGTATGAAGTTAAGGGAATAAAACGAGTTAGCTTAGTTCAACTAGGCCTGTGATAACCGGTCCCTAATTAGTGCTTTTTGAATGAAGGAGTGGGACTTTAAAGGCAAAATCTGCGCACCAAAGGCCATTTTACTGAAGACCCAATTCCGGGTGGGCAGTGGAAGATCCGGTTATTTCCAGAAACGTGCCTGTGTGTCCCGGGAAAGCTACAGAGTCAACGTGGATAGATTGTCCCATTATAGAACGCCATCAGAGACGCAATCTCCACTCATTTAACCATATTTGTCTAAGGAATTGGGCCCGCTCAGAGGCAACGCGCCGATCTGGACCAGAATGAGCTTCAGAAGCCGGGCAAGTCACTAATCCATCCCTTCAGGTCCGACACAAATAGCAAACCGAGCAACCACCTGTCACTACGGTAACACTTTATGTCACGCAGAAGAACAAACCATCCACAGGTCAACGTGACCACGTGTCCCAAGCTACAGACGCGTATCGACCTCTGACCCCCGGGGCGGCCGTAAAAACGACCGTGCGATAAACGGCGACACCTTGACAACGGCGCCTGCCTTTGTGCTGAGCCTGGGGGCGGGCAGCACTCTGGCAAATGAAGCCGGGTAAACCCGCTGCTGGCGCTGATTATCGCCACGGCGACGACGTGACGATGGCGACGGGGGATTAACACAGGCAACGCATCTCTGACCCGGTGCTGACTGATAGCAGATCAGCGCTATTTATAGCTCTCTGTCAGTTTGCTCACATTGGCTCGCTGGGCGGATAAACCTGTAACATGAGAGTCTGTTTGAACCGAGCCGGGTTGGAAAAAGGCCAGACTTTTTGGCTGACCTGTTTGGTCTCACGCCCACGACGGCCTTTCATATTACATGCAGGAGTGCCCAAAAAAGTTTATGTTAAACACGCAACCATAATAAGAGCTGAGCCGATGAGTGAGCACAATTATCATGTTGCCCAAGGCTTTCCGTGACACATCATTTCATGCTACGCTGACGTTCCGTTTGATCGTAGTAGAACACTTTGTGTAACGACCTCGTAAGCGTATTTGTGTCAGTAGAGTAAGCAGCTGGCAACGCCAGGATGGTGAGTTTGGTTACGAACCGTTACTATGGTTCGTAACCATAGTAATTGCATCCACTCAGTACTGTCACTGGGGATTTTTTGTTTTTATTTTACCTTTATTTCATCAGGTAGGCCGAGTGAGAACCAAATCTAAATTGCATTGCGACCTGGCCAAGATAAGGCGAGAAAATGTGCAGGACAACTTAGAGTTACAGAATAAATACACAGAATACAAGAGTGCAAATTACAAATAAGAGTGAGACACAATGAGACACAATAAGGCAATACAGAGGCAAGTAAAACAAGATGAGGTATATGTGGTTCTGTTGAGCAGCGTAGATCAGGCACTAGGGAATACATTTGAAAATATAAAAGTACCATGAGTATCATTTAACTGTATATTCAAGGATTACAGTGTGGCATTAATCCTGATGTTACTATAGATAATAAACGTTTCACTGCTTACGTGAAGCGGTGACTTTAATGACTAACATGTGATGACTATTTCTGGGTTGTGCCATTGTCTCACCCAGGCATGTTTTGATAAAACACTAATGACTAAAATGAAACTAAACGATGACAGAGTGAGTCGTGTTGATTAGAACCGTAGAAACACAATAGGTCAATCTGATCCTATCACATCTCTGTTATCTATTCCTGTAGATACAACCCCATACTGTAGTTACACCCTAAAGATACAAACCCATACTGTGGTTACACCCTGTAGATACAACCCCATACTGTAGTTACACCCTGTAGATACATACTGTAGTTACACCCTGTAGATACAAACCCATACTGTAGTTACACCCTGTAGATACAAACCCCATACTGTAGTTACACCCTGTAGATACAAACCCATACTGTAGTTACACCCTGTAGATACAACCCCATACTGTAGTTACACCCTGTAGATACAAACCCATACTGTAGTTACACCCTGTAGATACAAACCCATACTGTAGTTACACCCTGTAGATACAAACCCATACTGTAGTTACACCCTGTAGATACAAACCCCATACTGTAGTTACACCCTGTAGATACAAACCCATACTGTAGTTACACCCTGTAGATACATACTGTAGTTACACCCTGTAGATACAACCCCATACTGTAGTTACACCCTGTAGATACAAACCCATACTGTAGTTACACCCTGTAGATACAAACCCCATACTGTAGTTACACCCTGTAGATACAAACCCATACTGTAGTTACACCCTGTAGATACAACCCCATACTGTAGTTACACCCTGTAGATACAACCCCATACTGTAGTTACACCCTGTAGATACAAACCCATACTGTAGTTACACTCTGTAGATACAACACCATACTGTAGATGGTTACACCCTGTAGATACAACCCCATACTGTAGTTACACTCTGTAGATACAAACCCCATACTGTAGTTACACCCTGTAGATACAAACCCATACTGTAGTTACACCCTGTAGATACAACCCCATACTGTAGTTACACCCTGTAGATACAACCCCATACTGTAGTTACACCCTGTAGATACAAACCCATACTGTAGTTACACTCTGTAGATACAACACCATACTGTAGATGGTTACACCCTGTAGATACAACCCCATACTGTAGTTACACTCTGTAGATACAACACCATACTGTAGTTACACTCTGTAGATACAACACCATACTGTAGATGGTTACACCCTGTAGATACAACCCCATACTGTAGTTACACTCTGTAGATACAACACCATACTGTAGATGGTTACACCCTGTAAAGTAGTGCCATGGGCTACTTTTGCACTCAGCATACTTTTTTCATATTTTTTATTTTTTTTTAAAAGAGCAGTTCTGAAACTGTAGATGTTTTTAGGAACACCTATCTAGTCTTGGGTAAGCCCACATTTTGCCTCCAGAACAGCCTGAATTCCGGGTGGCATAAATTCAACGAGGTGCTGGAAAGGATTTCGGTGGACGTTGGCATGACAGCGTCACATATAACCTGCGGATATCTGGGCAACGGATAAACCCGAATAATCTAGGAGTCACGCAATCATGTGTAATGTCATCCTCCCTCAACAACGCAGAAACTGTTTGGTCCAGAATCCAGATCCAGATAACCTCAGGTACCAACTGATCTGAACAGTGCAGGCTATTAAACGAAAAAACGAAGTCACAGCTAATCACATGTCATTTCCAGTCGTCGAGTCTAGCAGTAACAGGACGCGCCCCAAACATCCCCAACAGTGAAGTGTTCACCAAGACATGGGGCTGGGTTTTAGGCAATGCTATTAGCCAATCTGGCCTGCATATGTAAATATCCACCGAAACACAATTAACATAAATGTAATTATTAAAAAAGAGACAAATAGATTCCTGTCACACATCCTGTATGTGTTCAGTCTTTACAATCGAACTCAAGTCCTACTCAGTGAGTCCTGTAGCACTAAATACTATTCTATAACCAGAGAGTGCAGTAGAAGCTCCAGTAGTCCCATTTCAATCAGCTATATGACTAATACACTAATTAACCACCAGCATATCAAACTGTAAATAATATAGTTGTCAATACCCTATTGATAAATATCCTAACATTGATTCCATCAACTTTACCATTTGTATTTTGTCACTCAACGTTCACAAAAATCCAACAATTAAAAGACATCACTTCAAGACACATTTCCTAGCAACTCTTAGGAACAATTACATTTGCAGCCAAAACATCGATTAAAATGACGGTTTTTTGCTCTCTGCCGTAATCTTGAGCATTTTTAACGTGACAGGAAAACACACTCTGAACATCACTTGCAATATTGACCACACTTTACAATTTACACTATTTTCTTCCGGCATTTGTTAATTGTTGTACGTACTTTCAGATTTAAACGTCAATCAGACACATATAGGCTTCAATCAAACTACAGAAGAAATCTCAGTCCTACGTCTGAAACAGCAATTTAGTGAAAGCTCTAGACCGTCTCAGGAGAAAGCACAAGCGGTATACAACCTGAGTCCTGAGACGAAAGCGTTCAGTCAGAAGGATGAGCCTCTCCGTGACCAGACGTGGCGTTAGAAACACAAACGCGTGACATTGTGAAGAAAGGGGCAGATGTGAGGTAGGGGAGCAGTAAAGTGGGAGAAGTGAGTGGGAGGGAGTGCGGGGAAGACCTGAAGAGGAGGGCTGATCTAAGAGAGGAGGTTGAGATTGATCGATTGGCCCCCACAGTGAGAAGTGCTGTGAGTCTGGAGGAAGGTAGAGGAGAACACACACTATAAGCTGACGATTTAAAATAACTCTCTGGGAGATACAGGGACAGGATAACCAGCTCTGTAAGCTAATTATCCACATACACACACACACACACACACACACACATACAGATACACACATATACACACACACACACATACATACAGATACACACACACACACATATACACACACACACACACACACACATACAGATACACACATATACACACACACACACATATACACACACACACACACACACACACATACAGATACACACATACACACACATACAGAGACACACATATACACACACACACACATATACACACACACACATACAGATACACACATATACACACACACACACACATATACACACACACACACACATACAGATACACACATATACACACACACACACACATATACACACACACACACACACACACACACACACACACACATACAGATACACACATACACACACACACACACATACAGATACACACATATACACACACACACACACACACATATACACACACACACACACACACACACAGATACACACATATACACACACACACA